GGGAAGGCCCCCTGGTGACCTCTGATGGTGAGGACAACGAGCAGCCCTCTCTGGAGTAAAGGGATAAGGATGTCCTCTTTGCAAGGAGGCCAGCAGCCCACTGGCCCCTCCAGCAAGCTCAGCCCCATGCATTTGCCCTCACAAGGTCATTGGAATCCACCAGTGGACAGCCCCTGCTGGAGCAGTGAGGCCCCTGGGCTTCCCCCACATCCAGATCTGTACAGTCTGCATGATCCAGATGTGCACCTTAGGCAGCAACTTTGGGGTCCTGGCATGAAGCAGCATGTGGCTAGGCCAGGGCAGGAAGACAACCTGAGGCCTGATCTGAGGCCTTGGCCCCCATTCCTTCCTCCTCTGGTAGGATAAACCCAAAAGCTCCCCGAGAAGATGCCTGAGAACTTCAGGCAGAGGCAGGCACTGCCTGGTACTTCTGTCCTGTGTGCAGGCTTGAATGACATGGTGGCAGAACCAACTGAGTCTCACATCCACCCTGACTTAGAGGGTGGGGGACAGTCCACCTGGGGGCACACAGACCTTTGCAGGACACACACGTACGGGTAAAGCACTGGGGCCACGCCAGATGCCTCTGCCACGTGTGCCCAGTGAGCCTTGTGGCCCCAGCCTCATGGTCACAGCAGCCTCCTTGCTTTGCAGCTGGTCCTGCCTCCCCTTGTGCCTGGAACGTGTGTGTCACTGGGAAGGCCCCCCTGGTGACCTCTGATGGTGAGGACAACAAGCAGAAGGTGGCTGGCACCATGGGAGCTGTGAGCACAGGCCCAGGCCGAGAGGGATTCCTGCCACCCAGGACAGAGGCAGCTGCTGTTGGCAGGTGTGCAGGGGACGGCAGGTCTGCCTGGGCCTTGGTGCTCACTGCATGGCTTCCAGGATGGTCACCAGGCTTCTTGGTTTCCAGCTGTTGGCTCCCCTGGGAGCGAGCGCGGGGGCAGGCCAAGGGGCCGGCTGTAGGGGAGCAGCACCCAGCATTGACATGGAGGCTGGACAGAGGGCAGGGGACCTCTTTCTCTCTCTTACAGAGTCCATTTGCTGTATGGTTAAGACAGGGCCTGGATGTCCCAGAAACCTCAGTTGCAGAGAATACTCCGGTTGTTTCAGATCGAGGGAGGCAGGAGGGAGACATGCAGTTTTTAACTTGCTGCAGGCAAATGTGTCTGCAATCAGACCTTGCCTGCTGCCCACTCCTGGACCATCCTGTGTGGACTCCTGGATGCATGCCCGCCTCAGTTGGGGGGCATGGATGCTCAGTAACGTGGGCCATCTCAGGACTGCACTTGGGGTGGTGGAGCCCTGACTGGGAGGTGCTGGCAGGTCAGCCCTCCCTGGAGGAAAGGGACAAGGATGACCTTTTTGCAAAGAGGCCAGCAGCCCATTGGCCCCCTCCAGCAAGCCCAGCCCCAGGCATTTGCCCTCACAAGGTTATTGGAATCCACCAGCCAACAGCCCCTGCTGGCCTTTGGGCAGAGGTTTGGGGGTGTGTGAGCATAAGGAACTGTGGGAAGCTGGAAATGGGCCACCTCTGTGCAAAGGTCAAGGCAGGGATGACCCTGGGGTTAGATCCCACAGGAGGGGACAAGATGCAGACTCATGATGCTCTGCACCTGGGTGGAAAACTTGGCATCGATGGCAGTGGCACCAGTGAGCTACTTGGTTCTTCTTGTTGTGGCTTGACTGCCCCAAGCACCTCACCAGCGTGCCTGGACATTAGGCCCTGGATCCCAGCCTGTCCCACCCTGCCCGCCCCGCTGCTTCCTAGTGGCTGGGACTCCTGTGGTGGTAGGCTTGGGATGTTTCCCCCAGCCATCCCATCAGCCCTGTAGCTCTGTGCTTACAGCTCACTCCCTAGCTGAGTGTACTGTAAGCCAAGGCTCACAGAACCCCTGGCCCATACCCTGCCCTCTGGGGCCTTGCAGCAAGGCACAGGAAAGCCTGACTTTCATTCCTTCTTAAAAGTTTTAAATCAATCACTGAAATTCTTAAAATTTTTGTTCTTTTCCTAAATGCTTTCTTAAAAAGCACTTAAATCTGCTGTGGAATGCAGGTGTCCTGTGCAGTCAGCCCTTTCCTGTGGCCATCTGCACAGAGGTTACCATCCAGCTGTACTACTGCAGGAGGGGAGCTTCCCCCACCCCACCAGTGCCCCTCCCTGGGTCAGATGCCCCATGCCCTGAGCCTGCAGGAGGCCTGCCCAGACCTTGAGGGGCTGTTAGACCTCCCCTAGGTTTCCTCAAAGCCCAGCAGGACCCTTTCTCCTCCTGCCCTGGGGTGGTTCCCTTGCCCCACCCCCAGCCCAGTGTAAGTTTGTAGTTAAAATCATGTAGCAGAGGCATCCAGGGCTCTGGGAAACAAGACACTTAATAATCAGCAGGTCCGAGTGCTGCTTGAAGGAGGGTGGAGATCACTATTTGGAAACAGGGCATCAGAGCTGACTGGCTGGGCCACCCAACTGAGGACAGGAGTGGGAGGGGGCTGAGGGCCATGATCCCAGGCCACTTTCTAGAGAGGTCCACCCTGCTGATCCTTGGGTGCATGAAGTTGGGCAGCACTGGTGAGTGGAGGGGGCACCCATAACTGGAGCCCATCTGCCTGCCACAGAGCCAAGTGTGCCGACAGCACACCGTTGGGGCCTGCCAGCCTCGTGCCCTCAGAAGCAACCTCCACCCCAACTGTGGCCACACCTCCCAAGGCCACTGTGGCGGCCACAGTACTCGACAAAGCAAGTCCTCCCATGGCTGCCCCAGTGGTCTCTCCTGCAGTGGCTGTGTCAGTGCCCCCAGGAGGGCCCATCATGGTGGTCCCCACAGCAGCCCCAGCCACAGTGGCCACCATGGGGACAGCAACAAAAGACAGGTGAGAAGGTGGGGCATGGCACAGGGTGGGGAAGGACAGGCTCTGCAGGCCCCAAGTACCTCCAGCCCTGCCCCCATCTCTGCAGGAAGACTGACGCCCCACCAGAAGGAGCTGCCTTAAATGGTCCTGTGTAACGCTGCTGCCACTGGCCGTGGTTCACCCTGGTCAGGCTGCATCCTTAATCAAGAAAACTACCTGGTGATGCAATTTGTTCTCCTTTTTTAAAAATTTAATTTAATTTAATTTTAAAATAAATGCTGCACTGGTAAAGCTGGCAGTTGGAACCAGTCGGACAACCCAGCTGGTGTCTCCCCTGCCTGACCCAGAGTCTCTCGGGCCCTGCTGGAGGACAGGACACACTGGCCGTCCCCCAGGTCCAGGCCCCAGCACAGCAATAAGGTCTCAGACATGATCGCTGCCTGCAGGAGCTGGGGTTGGGGGCAAGACCCTGACGTGCCACAAGGACTTGGAAGGGCAGGAGGGGTGGACGCCAAGGCTCTTTTCACCGATCCTTTTTAACGCACGCAGGAAGAGTGGAGTTTTTTTGCACTTTGTATCCAGCTCCAACACAGGGTCTCTCCTGGCTCAGGGCAGAGGTGAGGGCCTGAGCTGGGAAGGCCTGACCTCCACAAACGTGGGTCAGGTTCCAAGACTGCTGCTGCCTGATGGCCCTAGGAGCTGGCATCAGGCATCTAACCAGGCTACAACTTTTGACTGCCTTAAAAAAAAAAAAAAAAAAAAAAAGACCCTCTGGGCCTGGTGGGGTTGTCCCCTGGGGCCAGCAGGGCAGGCCAGCACCCTGGGGGTGGGGGGTGGGCGGTGCCTGGCAAGAACTGACCTCAGGCATGTAGAATGGGCACAGCAGGGTGTGAGGGCTTGGTGAGTGGACTGCACTGTGGTCCTGGAGGGTTCTGAAAGGTTATTTTACATTGAATTATTTTTTAATGTTCTGATCATCTGACAGGGCACCCCAAGCCCCTGACCCCAATAAAAGTCATGTCATTCTTACTGACACGCCAATGTGTGTGTGGTTAAGCTGCAAGCCTGGAGTGGGGGCCCCTTGTAAGATGAGGGTGGGGGACAGGCCACACCCAGTGGTGGAGTTTTACACCACAGAATCTACTAAGCCCTCTCCCCAAGAAATTAAGAGCTTTATCTGAAGCTTAAGTCACACACTTCAACCTCCTTCAACCCCCAACAGGTGGGCAGACCATGCCAGCACCTCCCCCGCCCCCCAACCTGCCCTCGTTTGGGAGTCCCCGACTCCACCTCTGCTCAGCCAGAGGGACCCACCAGCTCCAGGCCCAAAGCTCTCTCCCAGCAGTGCCTCAGCCCCTCACCCTCTGAGTCCTGAGATCCTGAGTGCCTCCACCCCGTGCTGTGGCTCCAGCTCCCTGATAAGAGGTGAGCTCCATGAGCACTCGAGTCACAGGCCGGTCTCACACCACCAGCCCTCGGATCAGGCCACAGTCGCCACCACCTGAGACCATCACTCAACACAGTGGCCACTCAAATGTTGCCTCAGCCTTTGCAACGTCCACCCCCTTCTGCCCATCTTGGGCCCCAGTGGTCCCGTGGTAAACCTGGTCCTGATGGGACTTGGTCAACTGGAGAATAACCCCCCAGGCAGGGTGGGCGTTGGCAGCAAGAGCCCCAAGAACTGAGACCCCAAGGTCCCTGTGGGCCCCAGCCCTCACTCTGCCTGCTGGTTCCCCTTCCCTACTGCCTGAGGACCTTCAACTCCCGGGAGCCCACTCTCCCCTGTCCCTCCCACAGACCCACACCCACTGTATAGGACCCAGCCTCCCTGTTGCTAACCTTGGTCCCAGGGCTGCTAAGATAGGGACAGGGGCCTTCCCTCTGGGATGCCAGCCCCAGGCCCACTCCTGAGGCCTCAGGGATCAGGGTCCACACATCAAGGAAGGTCCTGATTAAGCCACCCTCCCAAGACCAGATCTGCTCCCAGGACCATGGACCCTGAGGTGAGTGGGCCCAGCACCAAGAAAGGCTCACAAGAAAGCTGCGGCCTCCCCACCCACGAGGTAGACCCAGGGATGGGGCAAGGCCAAGGGCATGTGGGGGGGCACTGGACCACTGGCTGGAGGGGCGTGGGTGAGCAGGGACACGAGCAGCCGTTAGTTCTCTCTTTATATAGACTCTGGTTCTAGAAACAGTTCACCTGTGGCTGGCCGGCCGGGGCCAGCACACCAACAGGGCGGGGCAGGGGTGGACTATTTACAGGCCCCTTGCAGGGCTGTACCATGGCCGCGACCCGGCACGGCACTCAGCCATGACACAACAATAAGTTAGAGCCAGCCGGGCAGGGCGGGGCGGGGGCTGTACACACAAGTGCTGGGGGCTCAGGGCCTCAATACTGTCGAGGGCCGGGGCTGTAAACATGGCCGGGGCGGCCCTGCCCACCCCTAGTGGTCTGTAATGACTGGAAGCAGAGCAGCCCAGGCAGGGCCAGGAAGGTCAGGCGTCCGACAGGCAGCTCTGGATCCGGTCCACCCATTGCTGGGCCGAGGGTACATCCTGGGCACAGAAGTTGTAAACGCGACGCGTGGTCTTCACCTGGGAAAGGGTGGTGGCTGACTCCACGGCCGCTACCACTGTGGAGTCCTCCCTCCCACCTCCCAAGCCCGGGCAGAGGCTCACGTCAAAGAAGGCCTTCTCGTCCACAGTCTTAGGGGCACCCATGGTGGGAGTGCCAGGTGCCACAGCCTCTACCTCCGCCAAGTCGATGACACCTTTGCACTGGGTGTCTACTCGGTGGTCATAGTAGCGCAGCTGGGGGGGAGGGGTGTCACAGTCAGGGTGGCCTGTCCCCGCCAGGCTCCTCCCGCCACTCTTCACTCACCTGGTGCTTGGTCTTGTCTAGCACGAACCAGCGGGCCTTCCAGGGCTTCATAAAGGCCCCCTTCTTGTACAGGGTGCCCTCGTAGGACCTGCATTGGCAGCAGAACCAGGGCCAGGCTGGCTGTCAGGGTCCAGCTAAGCCTAGGCCCCAGCAGTTGCCCCCACCTGGGTAAGACCAGGGCCCTCATCCTACAAAACTGGCCCAGAAGGGGGACTATCTTCAGAAAAGAGATGGAGGGTCCTTCTCCCAACACCAGTCTTGGGGTCTCAGGGAAGCAGCCACACACAGGGTAACAGCAAAGGGGCACCCYAGGCACAAGGGGTGGGATGGATTCTGCAGGGCTTCAACCTCGTCTGGTCCCTGCCCCCAGCCCTCAAGTCTATGGATCTACATCTTAAGCCCCTTAGCCTTGGGCCACCACATGGTTTCCCCCTAAGACCTTCCACCCAAAGAAGTAACTCCTCAAAGGCATCCTTGGGATCTCAGGCCCCAGCTCCCACTGCCTCTCAGACCTGTTCTCACTCTCGGCCGTCTGGAACTGGCTGTACAGGGTGCTGGTGCTGCGGCGGGCAGCTTGGCGGGAGCTGGACGTGGTCGAGCCACTGCTCTGGTCACTGTCCAGGCTGAGGCTCAGGGTGGAACCCACAGGCCCCTCCTGTAGGTATACGCCCAGCGAGCGGCGGTGGTGGGGCACGCTGGACACAAGTAAGGAGCTGGGGGTGCCCTGGAGATAGGAGAGGGGTTTGCAAGAGGACTAGGCGGCCTCCGCCGCCTGCATGTGCCCCCTCCCCCCAGCCCCCCATGCCCACTCCTGCTCACACGTCCATGTATCCGGCCTTCCAGGCGCTGCGCAGCCTTCACTCGGTCCCAGGTGTCCTTCCAGCGCTCCGGGGGTCGACCCAACTCTGTCTCCAGCCGCTGCAGTTCCTGGGCAGAATCAGTAAACAAAGTGTTATTCAGAAAAAAAAAAAAAAAAATCCAGACTGGAGTATGAGAAGACAAAAGGAAGGGAAAATACAGAAAAGAAATACAGTAGTAAGACCCTCTTTCAAAATTTAAAAATAAAGAGGGCTGAGGAGGTAGCTCAGTGGTGGTAAACTGCCCCTGGGTTAAATTCTCAGTACAAAAAAAAGTAAAGAATGAAAAAATTTTCAAACCAGACATATTCCTCACCATTGCAAATAAATGAATGAATGAATGTTACAAAAAGAAAACAGACGTATCAATATATCAGAAGCACTACAGACCCCAAACAAGACAGGTTGGATACACACCAACCAGGGAGCCACAGAAAAGTAGGGATGGGGATGTAGCTCAGTGGCAAAGTGATAGTCTAGCATGAGTGAAGCCCTAGGTTTGACCTTCAACACTGCAAAAAATTTAAAACAAATTTTTTTTAATGGAAACTTTAGAACTTTAAAGTAAAATATACAAGATGAAAATTTCCTTAGACGGACTTTAGAATACTAAACATAAGAGTAATGAACTTGAAGATAACGGTAAAAGAAATCACTCAAAAGGAACTGCATAGAGGAAAAAAAAAAAAACAAGATGAAAGTAAAAAAAGAAATGGCAAGAAAATGACCATCTCACAGATCAGAGAAGCTTACCAAGCCTCAAAACAGGGTAAACACAAAGAAAAACCACACAATGGCCAAACTGCTGCAACCAAAGACAAAGAAAAAACCTTCAAGGAGAAAGGAGACAGCTCAGCTCAGAGGTCAGCTCACAGGGACAGCTGTGGGGAACAACTGAGCACTGATTGCTGCTCGAGGCAAGGTGGGCCAAAGAGGGCTTTCTAGACCTCTGGAGCCTGTCAACCTGGAACTCTCAGTCCAGAGAAAATGCCCTTTAACAAAACAGTTAAAGCTGGGGATGTGGCTCAAGTGGTAGCACGCTCGCCTGGCATGCGTGCGGCCCGGGTTCGATCCTCAGCACCACATACCAACAAAGATGTTGTGTCCGCCGAGAACTAAAAAATAAATAAAAATTCTCTCTCTCTCCTCTCTCTCTCTCTTAAAAAAAAAAAAAGAAAAAACAAAACAGTGGGGGCGCCAGGCATGGTGGCCACGCCTGTAATCCCAGCCTCTTGCGAGTCTGAGACAGGAGAACTGCAAGTTCAAGGCCAGCCGCAGAAACTTAGCAAGGCCCTGTCTCACACTAGAAATAAAAAGGGCTGGGGACGTGGCTCAGTGATCAAGCACCGTAACTCTCCCCGCCACACACACACACACACACACACACACACACACACACACAGAACAGAGGAAGGAAGGCACAATGAAGATGTTTTCAGATTAACAGAAGCTGAGGGAATTTTATGACCAGCAGACCTTCGGTCAAGAGGTAAAATCCTGGGCTGGGGTTGTGGCTCAGTGGTAGAGCACTCGCTTAGCACACGTGGAGCCCTGGGTCCGATCCTCAGCACCACATAAAAAAATAAATAAAGGTATTGTGTCCAATTACAACTAAAAAAAAAAAAAAAGAATAGTGAATATTGGAAATGGCAGAAATAGGAAACTTTTTTCCTCTTAATTTCTTTTTTTTAAATTTATTTTTTAGTTTTTAGGTGGACACAATATCTTTTTATTTTTATGTGGTGCTGAGGATCGAGTCCAGTGCCCCATGCATGCCAAGCTGGCATTCCACCACTGAGCCACAACCTCAGCCCTCCTTAATTTCTTTAAAATATAAAGTCGACTAAAACAAAAATAATAATTATGCCATAAAATAGCTAAGTGGCTCTAATGACATCAGATCAAACTGACTCTAAGACACTCAGGACTGCCCCAGATGAAGAGGAACTCTATCCTGCTCTCAGGCTTATGGGTCACATTCACCCCAAAACTGACTCCATGAGCCCTGAGTAAAGAGGTACCCGTGGACCAGGCTCCACACCGGGTCACCACATGACTGTGCAGGCCCACCTCACCACCTCTCATTGCCAGACAGGCATCCCCACTTCCTGAGGAAACCAACTCTGAGTTACTCAAATCTCTAAGGCCACACAGCCACCACGGGGGAGTGGGTACACGTCCCCGTGGTCAGGATCAGAGGCCACCCATTCTGATTGCTCAGGCCCTCTGAAGAACCACCTGGGGAGCCAGCACCACATGCAGGACATGCTGTCACTGCACTGCCCGGGGAAGCACATATCACCCAGCTGGCTCCCTGCGTGCTTCTCTCGCCAGGGACTCTGCCCTGTTGGATTCTGGGTCTGGTGATAAACAGACACACCCACCAAAGACGGCAGAGCAAGGGATACCAAAGACCTAAGCATCAGCCCTGAGCTTCCACGGCAGGAATCCAGAGGGCCGCTGCTTGCCATAGGGCGGGCAGGACAGAAAGTCTGGCAGAGAGAACAGATCCTGGGCACAGGTGCCATGCCACACCAGGTGCCGTGGTGTGGATGTGGTTTGTTCCCCAAAGGCCCACGAGTGGAAGCTTTGGAGGTGGAACCTAAGAGGTGGGCATAGAGGACATTCTTGGGTCAAAGGGGTGTGCCCTCAAGGTTAGGGTCCTGAGGGCTGAGTCTGTCAGCAGAGGGTGTTTTGTTTTTGCTTTTTAATATTTATTTTTTTTTTAGTTTTAGGTGGACACAATATCTCTATTTTTACATGGTGCTGAGGATCGAACCCAGTGCCTCATGCATGCTAGGCGAGCACTCCACCGCTGAGCCACAACCCAGTCCCCAGAGGGTGGTTATTCAAGCAACAAGCCCACCCAGCTCCCTGTGAGTGTGATCGTGGGTCTCCACACACACCTGCCATCGCCATCTGCCATGGTGTGACAAAGCTGAAGGACCCTGGCTGACTCAACAATCGCGCCCTTGAACCTCCCAAACTGAGTTAAGTAAATCCCTCCACTTTATAAGTGAGCCTATTTCTGATATTTTGTCATAGTGACAAAATGCTAATATACCAGGTAAGGGAAAGCACACATGCCCAGAGCAGAGGCCCTGAGACCTGGGGTTTGTGACAAGGACCTTCCCCTTCACTGCTAGGCAAACACTCACAAGGCATGGGGCAGAGACGTGGAAGCCATGGTCACCCCAGGTCCCAAGGGGCGCACACGCACCTCTAGCAGGCGAGAGATGGCGTCGGGCTGCACTCGAGGGCGGCTGTCATAACATGGCCACACCACGCGGCGCCTGCTCTGAGGAGCACCTCCATCTGGCCGTTCCTCTTCTGGGGGCTCAGGGGGCCCCTGGGCCAGCTCCCAGTCATAGGGGGGGCCCTCAGACAGTGTCTCCTCCGTGTAGAAGTCCCACACCTTCAGGTTGGACACGTTGCTGTACGGCCGCAGGACCTGGGGGCAAGCCTCACACTCAGAAGCTGGGTCAGCAGCAGCCCCCGCCCCAGCCGGGTCCCAGCTCACCTCTGTGTCCTCAGGTGCGTACATGTAATTGTAGAACACGGGGGTCCTCTTGCTCAGTCGCTCCACGTACTCCCACACAGACCGGCAGGCCAGCTGGCCCCTGCGCTCGCCCTTCTCCTCATACAGCAGCCCTACACAGGGTGAGGTCAGGGTGAGGCTCCGTCAGGGCCCCGCCCCCACACAGCCGCCCGGCCCACCGGACATACCCAGCTCAATGCGCTCATAGTCAGAGTCAAGCAGGAAGGTCCGAAAACGGCGAGACGCATGGTGGTAACCGAGGAACTTGAGGTAGAACTGGCTGAACTCAAACTCCATGGGGAACTGCAGGTGGACCTATGTGGGGCAGGGGCAGAGGTCAGAGTTCAGGAAGCACAGCCATGCCCACCCATAAGGCCACTACCCACCTGGTACACACAGTCCAGGAACTGCAGGAAGACAGGCGTGAAGCCACTGCTCTGCCCTGCTAGAGTGTGAGCCCCACGGTGGCTGAAGCGATGACCGAAAGACAGCCACTCCTTCTCCACCAGCAGACGGAAGCCCTCCAGCGTGCGGTAGAAGGGATCTGAGAGCAGCTGCACCAAGGACACCACCTGCAGGCACCACCCACTGGTTAGGGAGGTACCTTGGGGACCACAGCCAGTCCCCATCACTGTACCTGCTGCACACCTGGGTGGTGATGTCCCAGCCGTCCTCCAGGCTCACCAGGACAGAGGAGCCCGAGTCTAGGAGCTCCACCACCAGCACCGATATCTGCAGCAGCTTGTGGATCTGCAGGGACAGGCAGCCCTCGTTCCCCATCCTGACCAGGCCCCAAAGACCATGCCCAGAGTACCCACAAGAGGCTGGACAAGAGCCCTGCTCTGGATATTCTGACCACAGCTTCCTCCTCCCAGGACCCTTAGGACCAAGGAGGCAGATTCAGCAAAGACCCTGTCCTAGGGTTATCTGAAGGACCCATCCCTAAGTCCTCTAGCATTCACAAGTTCCCAGTGAAACAGTGCCCAACCCCACCTCCAAAAGACAGTACAGAGGCAGAATGTCCCACAAGCCATCTTTTGCATGGGCCATCAGTCCACCTGAGCCTAGTAAGCTGCCCTGGATACTCTAGTCTCACTGTAGACCCTACCAGCCCAGATCCCAGATGCCTCCCAGGTGATCCTACATGGGAAGTGGCCATCACCACCATCTTCTCCTGGGGCCCAAAACTGTCAAACAAGCAAATTTAGATCCCTGTTCACTCAGCTCCAGTGAAGCTGCAGGCCTAGAACCCAGGTGGGCAGAAGGGCAGGAGCAGCGCAGAGACCTGGGTCAGCCACTCGGAGTCCTCCAACGAGCGCAGGAAGGAAGCTGGGCCAGGGTCGGTGGCAGGACAGCCCGGGACGCAGGCCTTCAGCAGCTTCTTAAAGCTGGCCTTCACCTGCCTTGCTTCAAACACCTCGATGGGCACCAGCTCCCACTGCTGGAGGGGGTCTGGCCGCACACCCTGGGAGGAGGCCAGGCACTGAGACGTGCCCAGGCCTGAGCCCCCACCTGGCCCCATGCTCCCACCTCAGGTACCTTGAGCTGAGCTTTGTCTCCAATGATGTAAAGAGCTGCACGCTGGGGCCTCAGAAAGCCCGGGTCAGGGGGAGCCCCATTGGCCTGTGGGGGACTCAGGACATCTCTGTCGGCTAGCCGGGAACCCACATCGGCACCAAGCCCACCACTGCGCCCACTGGCCCGGACACTGCCCCGCTTACCTGTGGAAGAGAGAAAAGGTGAGTGCCAGAGTGGGGCCAGGGCACCACTTACCTGGGCCGGCTGGGCTTGGCCTCCAAGGAGGGGGCTGGGCTCCCAGGGTGGGGTGGATGGCCAACAGGCCCCCAGGAGGGCAGTGTGAGGGAGGAGGGCTAGAATACACAGATGCTGAGACACGTGGGGTGGCCTGTGTTAGTGTCTGGGGCAGGACTTGGGTGTCAGGCAGGTAAGTACTGGGGCTAGAGGGTAGGCCGTTAGTGTCAGGCATGGAAGGGGACATTAGTGCCCAAGACAGCTCAGTCCACACTGGGGGCCATCAGGGCCAGGTAAAGGAGAAGCCCCCGGTACGGTACCTCGGGGCGCAGTCCATCTGGAGGCCGAGGCCGCCATGGGGTTGGACAGCGTGGTGACCCTTGCTCTGGGGCTGGGCACTGGGGGCACAGCAGAGAGAAAGCTCAGGTCTGGCCCCTGGCCTGGGGTGTGCAGCTTTAAGGAGTCTACAGGTCAGAGGTTCCCACCAAGCCCTCCTCCGGGGAACCCTGGAACCAGCAGAGGTTGGCAGCGCCAAGTCCCTAGTCTCAGGAGAGGAAAGAGCCTTTGTCTGGTCCAGGCAAGGGGCCTCCCCCAGGCAGCAGAGGGCCCACGGCAATGCGGCCAGGGGATGGAATCTCCTCTGGACATCTCTCTCCTCCCCTATAGACAGAAGTCTTGCCCTCAGGTCCCTCCTTGAAGGCTGTGTCCCAGAACCTCCTCTCTCAAGCTGGGGTGGGACCTGTATGACAGGCACTGCCCAGAAGTGCTCTCAACACCTAGCCATGCAATGGCCTCACCCAAGACCCAGCAACAGGAGGGGGTCAAGGGGCACGGCCTGGAGGAAGCCTGGATCCTTCCAGGAAAGACAGAGAAAACAGGCCCAGAGACAGAGGGCAGTTCAGTCTAGGACACAGGCAGATCTGAGCCCCAGGCAGCACCAGGCAGACTCACAGCTGGGACAGTGTGGCCAGGAGCCTGGCATGCTGCCTAAGTGGGAAGGACTTAGAGGCTCACCTGCCTCCACAAAGGCCTCATGCAGACAGAAAGGTAGGGCAACATCCCCAGTCACTCCAGTGGCCACCATAGCCACACAAAATTCAGCCTGCGTGCCCTGTATGCTGACAGCCCCATACTGCGGGTGGCAGTCGCCCAACCTTGCAGTGAGAGCACCAGCCTGCTTAGGACGCTGGTTTTCTCTATAGCTGTCCCTGTTCATTACTGGGCAATGAGGGGGATGGTCAGGGATGCCCAAGGGACACTAGGGAAGGTGCGCAGGCACTGTAGGAACCGACTCGTCCTGAAGCAAGGATGCTGCCTGCAGGTGACCCTCAGGATTCCTGGCAGGAGCAGGAAGGCACAAACACCCAGTGATTATAAAACATACATAATCAGAGAGAAAGCTGGTATTTCTTTTTCTTTAATATATATTTTTTTTAGTTGTAGATGAACACAATACCTTTCAGACATGAGATGGAACCAAGGAAGGGTACCTGAAGAAGGTGCATTTATGTGGTGCCACGGATCGAACCCAGTGCCTCATGCATGCTAGGCAAGCACTCTACTACTGAGCTACAACCCTGGTCCTGAGAAAGCAGGTATTTCTGATGGAAGAGTGAGGGTGGGTGCATCAGGCCTGTCTCTGGGATACTGTCTCCGGTGACCATGAAGGCACTCACTGCCCATCCTTGTCCCCAGTGCCCAGCAAATAGTAATGAGACACAGATGGTCAAAGGAGCACCACCGAGCATGGGTGAGACCCACAGGCTTAACAGTGAGAAAGGCCAGGGCAGAGGGAGGGCAGATGGCTGCAGGCAAGGACTGCAGAGCTGGGTGGTTAGCTCCCAAAAAGCAGGTGGCACCAGGCTGCAGGACTGCTCTGCCTGCAGAAGCTCCTACCAGCCCCAGAAAACCACAAGCACACTGCACTGTGTTCCCAGGAGCTGAGGTCCAGCAGAGGAAACACAACCCCATCAACTCAAGAGCAGGACTGAGGGCATGGGAGCAGACACCTGTTGTGGCATCTACCACCTCCTGAGTACACAGCCCAGGACAGGTGGCTCCAGGTTTGTGTGTGAATTGGCTCACACCCCAGTCCCATCAGCAGAGGAGACAGGCTGGCCTGAGGAGGGTGAGCTCTGCAGGTTCCAGTGCAGAAGCCTCCTGAATCTCATGACCCGGTGCTAAGAGAAGACATCCAAGCACCAGGAACCCTGTGGGCAGATGACACACCCTGGCCTGGTATGCCAGAGGGTGGCTAGCATCATAAGCCTGAGAACCAACCCTCTAGAATGTCAGCATCTATCAGCCAGGCCAAGAAGATCAGCGAGACAGGGTGAGAGCACAGGAAGACACTATGGGAAGATGGGGCCAGGCTGGGTAGGAGAATGGAAATGGGTCATTGATGGGAGGGATTCAGTTATGCATGTGGGGGAAGGACCAAGGAAGCAGCTGCCCTGGGTGGGGGGGGGAGTCCTGAAGAGCCACCTTCTGCTTCATTAAACACCCGTGCCCTATAGAACTGCCTTTTGTGTCCCTCCAGGAAACAACAGTTTTATCTTCTGCCTAAAAGCTTCTCTTGATACTCAGCACCCACAATTTCCCTCCCAACCACCATGTGGACAGTGCATTGGGCAGAATATATATGACCACACATTCTTGGCATTTCTGAGCTTGGGTCAGCCATAAGGACAGCCCAGCCTACAACCAGTGCCCAGAGCAGCAAGGGCAAGGGCTCCAAGGATGGCCCCAGGCACCCACCTGACCGCCTGCCTGCTGCCTCTTTTGCAAAACAGAGACACCTCATGGGGACAGGTGGTTATGACAATGGCTGCTCCCAAGCAGGGAGAACTATGGGTGCCTCATGAGCAGGGCTCAGTGGGGGACACAGCCTGACCCAGATCGACCTCAGTGTGTGCAGGGGAGGGGATAACAGGTACAGTGAGACCAATGCAGACAAGACCCCTCTAGGACAGATGAGGCTGAAGACCAAGCAGTGGGCAGAGCAGCACTGGGAGGGGGCAGGGTAGGAGATGGGTGGGAAGAACAGGCCTCAAACACCTCAGGGCTGGGCCCAGCGACTGGGCAGCCACTGTCCAGGAGGCTCTGGCAGAATGTTATTGTTTAGGGGCTGGGGACATAGCTCAGCTGGTAAAGTGCCTGCCCTGCATGCATAAGGCACTGGGTTCAATCCCCAGCATCACAAAAAAAAAAAAAAAAAAAAAAAAAAAAAAAAAAAAAAAAAA